GCGAGCGGGACGCGGTCGGCTGGCAGGGCGCCGTCGGCGGGCGGGCCGGCGTCGGTCGGCGTAGGTCGGCGAGCCTCGTTCGGCTACCGGATCACCTTCGGCCGGCGAGCGACCGTCGGTCGTCGGGCCACCATCGGCGGGCAGAACGCCGTTGGCTGGCGGAAGCCCGTTGGCTGGCGGAACGCCGCCGGCTGGCGGGGAGCTGTCGGTGAGCAGGCCATCGTTGGCAGTCCCATCGTGGTCGCGTGGCGCTCTGAAACACAGTAAAGAGTTAATGACTCATTAGGGACCATATTATTTTCAAGTCCTATGCTGAATATCCCTAAGGTAATCTATTTAACTCACCAAGAAATATTCAGAGCATTCACTGGAAACATAGTCATGCAAGTAGGCCTTTAACTGCAATACTATATTTTTTCCTTATGACACAATATGCCATGCCATTCAAACAGCCCATTATGGTCAAACAGCAGACTGAGTGGAGCATAAAGCAATTAATCTGGTTGTAACTTGTAACACCAAAGGATTGTACAGTGAAGGATAGGTGGTGCCTGCCGGCCTTCAATGACAGGTTCAGGCTCCGGAGCTGGTCCTGGATCTGACTCAGCTGACTGCCTGAGGGTGGAGGGCAGAGGAGGACGCAGGTCGGGTTATATTGGCAGATGTTGAACAGTGATTGGTCACAACCATTTACCTATAAATTGATAAATTCACATATTCATGGGAAATGCATGTATGGGACCACGCCTCCATCAGGCGGCCAAGGAGGTCGCCCCTTGCCCCGCCTCGGCTCTCGGACCACAGCGACAACCGGCCCCGGACCCGGTCGACCTGTGGTCAGCCGGTGACCGGTCACAGTCATCACGCCACTCACCGAGGACGGGGGGACGCCATTATCACCTATCAGGGGGCAGGTAACACAATTGGCATTATATCACTGCCCTACAGAGTCGGTGGGATGCACAACTGACCTGGAGATGACGTGATTGTTTCTGGACAATGTCCGTATGCGCGCCTCGTAGCTGGTGATAACACGCTGCCATTTCTGCTGGGTGACGTCCGGCCCACAGCTGGATCGAACCGCGCTGTATCCAGAACCACCGCCAGATACAACCTGGTAGATAGGATGATAACTCAAGAACCACACAACACACAATGAAGACAACAAAGGCGACAGCAGCGCATAATGACGATCTTATATCATTTGGCTTATTCAATGTCACCACAGGTTGCAAACACTATATTTTACTAGTCAGACTCCCATGGTGCCTGGTGGGCTGATGTGCCTAGCTGTACTCCGAATGTAAGACTTTCCAAATGTAACTTAAGTAAATGTAAAAAATCAACAAATAACTTGTCTAGAAATAATGTTGCTAGTCTAAAACCAGCTTGCGCTCCCCCCCACCCCCCAGGCCCCCACCCACCAAAAAGGCACCCAGGAGCACATGAACTGGAACACCAATGCACAATCACCTGCACAACACAGCACATACTCAAGGATGCCTGGTGCATGGTGGGTTTTGTAGGTCTACACAGCAATTTATGCTTAGCATGGGCTCTGGATCAATTCTTCCATATTCATGCAGGGCATACTGGTACGGCCCTCCAGCAAAAGAGTGGTTGGTTAGCCTATGTGCTTTTGATGTAATAACTTTGAATGACAGAGACACTCCTGTAAAATGACTCAATAGAAATGAGAAGAGGGCTCGTGCACACACTTCGGCAATGGTTTTCAACAGCCATTAGACGTATTCATCAATGTAGATTGCTTATTGTGATGTTGGCAACCAACCACTAAATATCTGGAGGGCCGTACACTGGTGAGTGGTGGGTACACATTTCCAGCTTGGTTGATATAGAATGATACGGATTAGTCAAACTAAATGATGCATTTTGCTTGCCTTTTTGCCAAGCATTGTAGTCTGTTTCATACTCACGTCGTCGTCTCCGCATCAGCATGACACTGCTTTGCTTCGCATACTCTATGCAGCCTCGGCAAATGAACCTCGATTGCTTTGAAGAATATAAAAATGTGCAGCATCCATTTGGGCACAGACTTGCTTTCTTGAATGCAAATCAAGGCTATGAATGAGCCAGGACTTGAGGCAAACTTTGCCCTGCCGTGTTGCCCATAATTGTGGCATGAAAAAAAACACTGTTTCAGTTTCCTGGTTGTGGTGGCATTGCAAATTTCCATTCCAACCCATGCAAAGATCTCAAAAGACTAAAGAGCACCAGAAAAAGGAAACTACAAAAACGCCAACACCCCATACAATCTCTACATAACTCTTTTATGTTATGCGCTTCACAACTTCTACCATCAACAAGCTACACAATTTTAAATTGAATTTTAACCGAATTCCAATGTGCCTAATCGGCCTAATCAAAACAAACAAATTCGAAAATCAGGGATGTTCTCCGACAGCAACGTACACGCCGTTAAACCAATTAAATGAGATCGCTGGCGTTCGCTAGCGATAGCAGTACAGTAAACTGTGCGCAGCTGCAGGTGATAATCATGGTCTGCAGTTTTCAACATCGAATTTCGTACTGAGCCCCAATTTATTTTGTATAAAACCTTACACCAGCAGATAGAAAATTTAATTTTGTATAATACTGAAGTATAAATAGATGCCGACTCGGTTTTATTTCTTAGTAATATTCCATTGATTGTTACAGTGTGACTTTTGGCAGCAAGGAAGATCTCACATTCTAGACCCAAAAAATATATCTTATGACACCGAAACTGCAATAAAACATGCTTACCTGGAAAGAAAATTAAATTTGCATTATGATAAATACCTTTTATGAGCCCATCTGCGGTAGGTTTACCAACTATGGATGTTTTTGTTCAAGACTGTTTGGTACCCAAAACTTTAAATTTCAAATTTGGAAGGAAAATTGACAATGAGCCCCAATTAGATGAGCTTTAATACTTTTATATGTTATACTCTGTGCATTTTTGCATATTTTGGTGGTTTATTTAGATGCCGACTCGGTCTTCTTTTTTAACAATATTAGATTTAGTGGAACAGGGTGACAAAGAACACCAATGGTGGTGATGTATTCAACATGGATTAATTCTAGTTTTGAGTATTAGTAAATGCAAAACACACATGAAATATGAAAGACAATTCAATTTTGATCTTGATTGCTACTGATTTGAAACCCACACCACTGGTATTATTCGAGAATTCGTGGTACAACTTTGGCAAGTCCGGTTGGATGACAACTTTGGGAGCATGGTGGTTTCGAAATTCAAAGAAGCGATATTAGGCTATGATAATAGTTTTTCATTATTAGTTTTTATTTTTAAGGATGAAAACGTATTTTCGCTACTAAAGAATCCCTACAACCTAAGATTTATTATTTTCGAAATGGCGTGGCCGGCTTCAAAATTATTTTCGTAAATACTTTACAGAAATACACCAGTCCTGCCCTGAATACATTTATGGATAATATATATGTAAAAAATAAAACATATAAAAATATCAGGCCTAGTTCCCTTTTTTGGAATGAAAAGGCCAGCTGAAAATAGTGGTCAAAATACCTTAGGGTGCGTTCTTTGCACGGAAATTTCACGTGAAATTTCACGGCTCAGTCAGCTGATGCGTTCTTTGCCGACCGCACGGGAATTTCACGGCGCAATTGTCGCAGAGGCTTCATAAATGTAATATACCTGGATTTGTGAAACGCAGTGGTTTCGCAAGCAAGGTTGCAAGTGATTAGAGGTAAATAGGGTTTTATTAAAAAGTCACTGGTATGCATACAGCTTGTAACAATATGGGTTAATATATTTAAACCAGTTTGCTGGTTAGTAACAGCAGAAGCGTCAAGCGATCCTCATAGGTTTTTTGTTTGTTAAACGAACTACCTGCTTGTGCAATGATTGCAATGGTCGATACCAGTGCAGGATTCATTTTGCAATTTAACCGTTTTATCATAAATGATAGTGAATTCAATTTTGAGAGGACACCAATAGCTGACCCTTGACTTGTTAGGGATTGTAATTTTACGATCTAATGACAAATCAGAACAGGTAGCTTATTTATCTTCAGTTTTATATTGATATGCTAGTTGTTAAGAAAGAACTGAGCTGACAATGGTTCTGAGATGTGCATTTTTCATTTCCAGCACTTCATCAAAAGCATGGCACTGAATCGTGCTTTGCTGGAGGCACTCTTAAGTGATTCATCAACTGATGACGAAGAGGATGTTCCAGAGTTTGCTAGAGTAGAGCATCTGAGAAGGTAGGTACAGTTTTATGTGCAATTTTTTTTCTTTGTAACATCAGTTCAATCAGTTCTTTCTGCAAACTGGGTATGAAAGTCCCGAGCATCTACATATAAGGATTTATGATACCCAATCACCCGTTCTTAATGGATGATTGAAAACAGTCATGCTGGGTTTATTTTTTCGTATCATAGCTCATGGAAAGCAACATCACATAACAATTGGTAACCCTCCTTTCAGGAGGCAACATGTGAGGGTCAACAACTTTGTTGAAGAGACTGTCGCCCGCTACTCGCCTGACGATTTTGCCTCTCACTTCCGCATGTCAAGAGCAAAGGTGGAGGAGGTCACAGCACTGTTCGGAAGGGATTTCAAACAGCGGCACCTTATTCCACCGCAGTTCACCAAGTGCTACTGAGTCTGTGGCTGCTGTCAAACCATGTTTCGTTCAGGTCGGTGGCCGACCGTTTCACCATGTTTCGTTCAGGTCGGTGGCCGACCGTTTCGATGTGACAAAGTCCTGTGCCTGGTCCATGTTCATGGAATTTTGTACTGCTTGTGGAAGGCGAGCCAATGAGTTTATTACCTGGCCGGTAAACACTGCACAGGTAATGAATGGATTTCAAGACATGGTGGGCTTCCCAGGCGTAGTGGGATGCGTCGATGGAACCCACATTCCCATACTGATGCCCTCTGATAGAGGCCATCAATATATCAACAGGAAGGGGTTTCCCTCAATCAACGTACTTGCTGTGTGTGACGACAAGATGAAGTTCACGTGGGTGAATGTTGGATGGCCAGGCTCTGTGCATGATGCGAGGATTTACCGCAACGAGCTGGAGCCGCTGCTGATGGGAGCTGGAGCCAACCACCTCCTGGGCCTGGACGGACATCTGCTGGGGGATGCAGCCTTCCCTCTCTCCCCGCGCATGCTTGTGCCGTTCAGGGACAACGGGCATCTTAATGACAGAAAGGTGCATTACAACAACAAACTGTCCTCCACCAGGATGACGATCGAGAGGACGTTTGGGCGCTTCAAGGGAAAGTTTAGGCGTATGAAAATGCTGGACATGCTGCGAGTCGACCTGATTCCCAATGTTATTCTGGCTGCATGTGTGCTTCACAATGTGTCGATGGGGGAAGAAGAGCAGGAGGAAGCCTACAACCCGGTAGAGTGTCCTGAGGAAGAGCCACAGGAGGAGGAGGAGGAGGTGCTGGTAGATCGTGATGGAGATCGTGTAGAAGCGCCAGTCGAGCCACGGGACGCACAAGATGGGAACGGAGCCCTGAAGCGGGATGCGATGGTGGAACGCTTGTGGGCGTACAGACGTGGCAGAAGGGAGTAGGCGAACGGCGTCTCTGACCAATATGTGCCATATAATGAGCAACAGGTTTCGTTTTTATATCAAAGGCTGTGCCTACATACCGGAGTGTGTTATGCCAGGGTGTCAGAACGTTCAATTGAATTTTGACCAGGATCGTCATTTCACTGTTATGGTACTGATCCATGAATGATGAACGTCTCCGAAAGACTACCTGCTTCAAATCACGTGTATACAATGTATCATGTGCAATGTCATTTAGTAAATACATCATGTGTTAACTGATTAGTGGCATTCTGTAATTCAGCTGGACAGCTACATGAACCAACTACGCCCATGCACGACGCTCAGCTAAGCATAAAGCAATGCTTTCAAAGAAAATGTATTTCTGAACCATTCTCGTTATAGCAAACATATCTACAAAATGGTGTTATACGAATGCATGACCTTTGTCAGCGCTTCTCCTGCACCGTGAACGACGAACATTTGTACATTTTGAAAGATTAAGTTGAACACAGCGATGAGATACAACACAGCAGTGCTGCAATGAAATCCACCATAGATATTGCTCAATTCTCAGGACTTCTAACAACACGGAATGTGTGCCCCAACTATCAGTTGATATAGCTTTTGAAAGCATGTCACACACAATGCGGAATCAGAAAGCTCTCAGACGGTCACAACATGGTAGGTACCTATGTGACAAATTGTTCCCCCATGTGCATTCAAAAGTGCAAACGATCTTGACTAGCTCTGGGCTTGGCACTAACTAACTGGCTACCTTACTTTACACAAACTAACTTGGCACACCCTCTGGAGATTGCTGTCCAATCCCATGCTTATTCACAGTGTTTGTTGACAAGGCGTTCAAGAAGCTCCATCTTCTTCTTTGCTATATCCAGCTTTGCTTCCCGGTACTTCCTCCTGTCTTCCAACTCCATTATCCAGGCATCCTGCAAGGATGTGTTGTCTGAGTCAGCACGCTTCCTTTTTCTTCTATTCTCCTGCGAGATGTTGCCAGCCGATGAATCTTGCAGTTGCACCCCCCTGCTGCTCGTGCTGCTGCTGCTGCTGCTGCTGCTGGGGCTGGAAGTGGAGACAAGTTGTGGGTCTACCTGGGTTACCTGTAGTGGCTGGACACTGTGCGGCACAGTGGAAAGACGTGCCACAGGCTGTACATTTGGATCCCTTCCCATCACTTTCTCCATGGCATCAAACCATTCCCAAGAAACAGCTTCTGAGCCACTCCTTGACATTTTGTCTTTTACTTCTTTGTACTTGTTAACTAGCCTGTACCATTTCTTGCGTAAGAATTCCCAATCTGGGACCAAGTATCCCTGTTCTTCAAAGTCCAGCTTGACTTCCTCCCACTGTTTCTGCTTTTGCTGTTTAGAGCCCACTGCACTGTTCACCTTGGCTTCATTGCAGGCATCTATCAGCAAAGCTACTGTGTTGGAATTCCAGCGTATCTGCCGAGCTCCACTCGGGTTTGCACTTGAGACAGCAGCATTGTGATCCTCAGACACCTCTCCTCCTTGCATACTTATCATTGGTCCACTGTGGTTTGGGCAGTTGAGACTTTCCTCCATAGTTTGAAACAATCCATCACACGCTTGGCAGAGCCACATTGCCCTGGCAGAGAGAAATGTCTGTTAAAACAAATCCTAAATTTTGGTGGATTTTCTGGGGTTGTTTTCATGCTATATTTACAGGGTTTATTGACTGAACAGGCTGTAAAATATACATGCCAGGGATGTGTTCACTGTTCACATTTTTTTAGCTTGTGTAAGGTGGGTTATTTAACACTGACAAGTATTCTGAAAAAATCTGACAATCACTTAACACAATGTACCTGGCTGCCCATATAAGTTGCAAGCGCCGAGCACCATGATGACAAGACATTGAACCAATATGTTGGGACATTCCTCCCTATCCAAAGCAACATCCAATTAACAGGTGCAGTTTCTTCATTATACTTGTAAGTACTACCAATTTGGACAATTACAAAAAAGGCTTTGCTGAAAATGAAAATGAGATCACTGGAAAGTGGAAGTGGAAGCCAGTCAACAAGGAATACCAGACAACGCATTGGCTTTAATTTTTCTTAGTTCAGTGTAGCCCCCCAAAAAAAGAAAACTGAATTTGTATTGTATAAAAACACTTAGAATGAACCCTATGGCCTCAAAACCCGTACATATCATGCTTACACATGCATGTTGCCTCCTCCAGTGGGCGTCGCCATCTTGAAAATAGCGCTCGGGACAAGCTTTTCCGATTCCCTTATTTCACGTGAAATTTCGCGGGATTTCACGTGAAATTCCGCGTGGAATCGGCAAAGAACGCCTTGATTGCCGATTCCACGTGAAATTCCACGTGAAATCTGCTCAAAGAACGCACCCTTAGTGTTGTGGCGGCGAACCGGTTTTACCTAGTTCTCTATATACCGTGGTGTGTGCGTAGCGGCTAGCGCATCAAAGGTGGGGTGATTTCTTTATTATTTTTCGGTAAGTGGTGCGAAGTTAAGTGTTTTGAAAATGTTTTTGATGTAATTGGCCAGCGAGAAGGAGAAATGATCATCAAAATTGTGTTTCTTTAATGTAAAAAACTGAAGTTTTACCGCCTAAGTTTTAGCAGTCTTAGTAGATTGAGTGAGATGCATATTCCGACTCGCCCTATCACTATCGTCTGGATCAGGCTGGCACGGTCCGCCGACATCAAAACAACGGTGCGTCAGCTGATTATTGGTCCTCCGATTCAGGAGAAATTATTAACGCGGGAACGCCGGCGCTAAATAAAGGCGGTAGGATTCACGGCTTTGCATGATCGTGTGCAATATTTTTTTTATAGTATCAAGCGAGGGGTATTGCTGGAGTTTTGCAAATAAATATTTTGTTCTCAGTTTGGCTATGCGATCGTGAACACCTTATTTTCATAGATACGATATGAAATAGGATAAACAGGCCAACCCAAGGCTATGTAGGCCAACCTTAGACTTCGCATAGCCATGGACATTGCGTAGGAAGGTACTCGCCGATCGTACCACGATACCACGGGCAAGATATCAGACTTTTGGGAGTTTTGTGTCGCTGAAATGTATTTTAAGTGCTAAGAAGGAAAACAATTCAATGATGTCATGTACAATGGACATTTAGCCATTCCAAGCATATAGTTTGCTGGCTTTGACAACCAGATAGCCAGGTTTATTTCAAGAGCTTCTAAAGAGGAAGTGGATTTAATATCGTTTCTATTACATTTATTTGATAATCCTACACATCAGTAAACCTGCCACGTTATCATTCTCGTCGAGCGATTACCGGCACATCGTACCAATTGGTACGATGTGCCGGTAATCGCTCGCCGAGGATGCCAATGCAGCGTCGAGCGTCCGATGGTTTACGATAGGAATTATAACAATAGTTTTAAACTAGCGCTTTTTAGAACCATGGTCCGAAATGGTAATTCAAAGAACCTCTGCCCCTTTCAACTCACCTGAAAAAGCTGCTTTCGTGTACCACCCAGCACCCGTTTCGTAGATATATCAAAATGATAACCGGAGGCGAAGATTATCTTTATGATATCACGATTTGTGGGGCTGACTAGTACCGACGGGGATCCCACAAACACGACGGTCACATTCATTAAGCATGATGTACGGCGTAAAGCACCACAACTCACCCCAAAAGCGCAACCTTCTGAGATATCTTATATTTAGTTTCAATGCTGGTACTGGTGCAGTTTCAATGCTGGTACTCTGCTCATTTCTGCTCAATAAAGTTATTTCTCGCTTAAATGCGCCTCACATTAATCGTGTGCTGTGCTCCACAATCATTGCGCCGCGCGCTCTTCCTTCTTATCGGCCCCCTTGAGATCGTATCCATCAATATCTATTTGCTTCTAAGTTCTAATGACTTGTAGAGAAACAATTTTAGAGCGCTTAACAAAATAATTGCATAACCTATGAGCGATGGGAAAAGCCCAATCGTCCAACTCATAAAAAACATTGGGACACAAACAACTGGAAACTGATGGTAGTTGGTACTTTCGCGCATAGGCGGCGGAACGGGGAGGGCACCGGGGCACCGTGCCCCCCTTTGATTTTGGCATTTTAACATGGGCTCTATGGGCGTTACATGGAAAGAATGGGACCAAAAGTCGGCAGTGCCCCCCCCCCCCCTTCCCCAGTTGAGCTGAGCTGGGCGCAGGTACTAAAGAGCATCACAGGAAATCCTATATTCATCTCGCCGCATTTAAGCGCACCAATCGAAAGACGACAGCGTGACCGCGCTGACAGGCAATCAACCTGGCCACATAAAACTAGCTAGTGCAAGGAAGATGTCTATATAAACCACTGGACCATGCAAAGCGTTCATGTAAATAAAATATGAGTAAAGATGACCCGTTTGAGGGCAGACTGGCCAAACAGTGACGTTACACGCGGATCTCAACACTGCACAACCCATTCATCAAAAAAGATCCCGTGGATCCCTATATACGTCATAACTAGCCCTAGTACGGGGGTATATAGCCATGGACGTAAATGGCCGGCTTAAGGCACAGGATCCCAATTGTCATCCCCATTACGTGGTCCCCAGAAGTCGCCAGGCCGAGAGCCAATGGCAGTTAAGCACATCTTACACGTGCCGACAAACGTGACACAATGAATCCAATAATGAGCCCGCCAATAAGCCTGCCTAATTCTGCATGTAGGCTGCTATTTACCACCACGGCGGAAGGCTAAAACGCATCCATACAGCTCAACATAGGTGTCAATTTCCGCCGGGTTGGGGGTGCTCAAGCTCTTTAAATTCTCCGCCGGCTCGGCTGGCTTGGCTTTGGAGCCCCAACAGACGGTGCGGGTCAAGGTCACCGCTGAGGCGGCGGCGGATTTGCTGCGCCCGGGCAGTGGGCACCCTCAATTCGGTGAAAATCGACACCCATGCAGCTCAACATGACAAAACGCTGCATATAAGCGCACGTCCTCGCATTTAATTGACGCATTTAATTGCGTCACTAACCTCGTACACTGTACAACACTGGTGAGATGACTGTCCGAAGGAAACTGCCGACTTTGGCTGGCAACATTCAGGGTCGGTGACTTATGTACTGAGTTCGGCTGGCTGACAGCGATGTGACTTCAGGACCGGTTGATGAACGGGCCATCCTAGCCCCATACTACAGGAGCCCAGCTGGTCTTGGCGAGCGGCGGCGACTGGACGAGGCTGGACCCCTACTACAGGAGCCCAGCTGGTGCTGACGAGCGGCGGTTACTGGACGAACGGGTCAGCCTGGACCCCTATTGCAGGAGTCCGGCTGGTCTTGGCGAGCGGCGACGACTGGACGAGGCTGGACTCCTACTGCAGGAGTCGAGCTGGTCCTGTCGAGGAAATAGTTCACCTTTAACATGGGATTTTAAACTGAGATAGCAGTCTGATAGAGCAGATTTGTGTATGCCCTATATTTGAACCGTTTGAGATATTCACCTTTTATCAGTGAATATTGGTGCTTAAATTCATGTTCTAGTGCTCATTTACAGCAAGCAGAAACCTCTTCAACACACACAGTGGCCAATCAGCGATGAGAGCACTTACAGGAGCAGAATCCCTTGCAGCTGATAGGTTGTTCAGCTGTTAGTGTTCATAACTCTAATCATTAAAATAATGAAATCCCTTTAGAAGAAGTGTGTAATTCCAAGTTAGAATACATTTACATTTTATTCATCACATTTTTAACACATCTTTTTGAATTTTATTAATCAAATTACTCACAGAAGGTGAACTATTTCTTTTAACACTTACCTTGCTTCAATGGTGACATGTAGCTCTTGCAGCAGAGAAGTCACAGCATTTGGCTGCAACTTCAAATATTGACTTGTTGCTATCAATTATTCAGTTTTGAAATGCATACAGGTACAGTGAATCTTGGGTTCTCCTGTAAGAATGCCGACCGCAGAAGCAGAAGTTCATCCAAAGCTTGCGCCTGAAAAAGGGCCAGGTTTAATATATGAGTGAAATGAAGATTTTTGAATCATTTTATCATTATACCATAATCACATTTTTACCTAATTTGTAAGAAATAGGTTTAGGTTAGCAGTAATAGGTAAGGTTTTGACTAGACCCCCTGGGTCACAACAGGAGATGACCCCCGTGATTGGTGGGACCACCAGGCACCAGCACTGGCACAGTCCGTTCTGACTTCTGACCACCGCACACCTATCAGCCCGAGAGCACAGTAAATTGCATGTTAAAGCTCCATTAATGCTTTTTTCAATTTTGGCCATCCATTTTGTTGGGTCCATCATGTCCATCACCAAGCCACATTTAAAATGCACTACACTACACCCCCCACCACCTGACCACACCAGGCCAAATCTGCACCGCGCTACACAAAATCCGCACTGCACCAAGCTAAATCCACGCCACACCAAAGCCTCACCAGCCGGACAAGCCAGCACAGACGAGATCTTGTCGAAATTGCCATGCTTTGCAGAGTGCATACTGGCCTACCTGAACCTCACCTTACCCAACATATGAGCCTGGCATATTTACGTCTGGACAACGAGTTGCGTTGGAGAGGCCGGAAATAGTGGCGATTTCAGGACCGCAATAATGGACCGTCATTGGAATGATTCTTTTTTAAAACGTGTGTTGTTCTTAGCCGAAATTTAGTTCTTACTATAAAATATTTTGTAATTAGATTTTGGCCGAGAATGAATACCATCAGAGCTAAGTTTTAACTTTCATTGTATTTTGTCCAGAAGCATATAGTGCTGTTTTATTGCAGTTTTTGCGCGTTTGTTACAAAACATGAAGCGAACCTGCAAAAAATTCCAAGGTGAAGATGATGTATATCGCAAAATATCATATTGACCTCAAGTTCACCCGTTCCTTCCATGATTGACTAGACAGATTTACACATTTCAATTTTATCTTGGATCAAAGGTGTCCGTGTGAATATCGGTGTGATCAGTGCCAACTGCCAGAGGTTAACTTGAAGGGAAGCTTGAGCTATGATAGTTGCTCTTGTCCATGTCCCTCCACTAAGAAGAAGAAGTTATTAAATATTTTGCTTTGTGTATTCCAAGAGGAGAGAGAAGTGGGAACTATTTTCTTTTTGCCTTCATGTCGAATTGAAGATGGATCATTAAATTTTCAAGGCGTTGATCAACCAAGCATTTAGTCTTTCTCGTACATAAGCAGTGGCTAAGAAGAAAAAGTTAATCATACCTGAAGTTTAGTCATCTTACTTCAACTCAAACTTTGCAGCAAGATCCCCAAGGACAGAGGATATACATATTGTATACCTTTCCTGTAAATCAAAACATTTTTGTGCTTGCAAAGGCTTAAATTATTTGTTGTGTGCTCGGAGTGAGGCTATGGGCGTTTTGTTGTATGTTTATGCGGAGATTGAATACAACTGTGACCCTGTGATTGTTTGTATATTTACTACAGTCAAACAGCATATTCAAATAACATACTCACCTAGCTCATAGCTGTACCCCCACAGGATTTGCACTTGTTGATGTCTCAAGCATGAACAAAGCACTAAACTAGCTTAGTTATCATTTCCCACATTTTTCTGAGCATCTAACATGGCATACAGCAGTGCAGAGCAGCTTCAGAGAAGAAACACTTAAAATGCACACTGCACAGACTCACACCAGCCACCCATTGAGCCAGTTCCTCATTTGCCTGTTTCCCTGGATGTGGTTTGGCAAGGTGAGCTAACTGTTATCAAGTTGAAGGTTAGCAGGTAAGATTGAGTTAGGGTGAGTACCTAGTACCTATAACTGGGTGCTAATGCTATGCAGGTCTTGGGTAAGTTGCAAATAAGTGTGATGATTGAGGTTAGGTCAGGTTAGTCAGGTATGAATTGATCAGGTCACATTTTTATGGACACTTGGCAAATTTAAAAAAAGACTAACATGACCTAATATTAGCTAACGCAACTAAACCTACATAACTACTTAACTATAGCCTATAGGTACTGAGCACCTACCTACTTGTGCCTACATCCCATACCAAGTCAAAATAAAGGTCCTTTCTGGAAGATTACCATGGCAGTACTTTTTATCCCAGCCCTGTGAAGAAAACTAATACTTCTCAAGTTCTGATTCCCTTCTAGCCATCCACAGAAAGAAATGCTGACAGCTTTGCTTTTGTATATTAGACCAATAATCACCATCACGGAACAAATGATATGATCACATCGTTGCATGGATTGTCACATTGACAATTTTACTTTAATCCTTTTTTCAAGAAATGCAAAGTAATGATGAACATCAAATTAAGCATTATAAAGCTGATTTAGTGATCCAAGCTTTCTCTTCCAGTAGCAATAGAATGATCGCATGTTTCATTTGCCAGACACTGAGTAATGCACATTACCATCTGCGTAGCAAAGTAAAGCTGCCCAGGTTTGTTCCTTCTAGATTTTTTCACTTGACTGTTAGCACTCATTGATCTTGCTGCTGTAAGTAATATTTCAATATTCATACCAATGCATCAATACGCGTTCATCAGCCAACATTTTCTGGCTTGATACTGCGCGTGCTCTTCAGTATTGATCTCCTGCAATATTATAGCTTGTTTTCGGCCAATAAGCTCTTTAAATTTTACTTTTTCTTGCTGATAAGTGAGCCAGATCAACTTGCGTTTATCAACCAACATTTCCTAACTTCAACCTGCTATTATTCAGGACTCACAACTCAGGACTCTAAGCCTCCTGTATACTTCAACTTGGGATTGTTTTCAGTCAACATGCTTCTTTAACCCGCGCCCTGCTGGGGGGGGGGGGTGTTTGAACACACCCCCCCCCTGTGGTTTTTCGCGAATATCTTAAAAACGGCGGCGCGGAGCGCCGCCGTTTTTGGTACACCTTATCATACATCAATTCTACACATGTTGTGAAAATTGTAGACCAAGGTCATTCAAGGTCAGGTCACCAGGTCACTTGAAGTGACCTCACCTCATAAAAAGTTTCAATGTCTGTCATAGCTACACCGAGTGACCGATCGCTTTGAAACTTCAGCGATTGCTAAGAGCAATAGCATGTACAAAATGTATATCTCAGAATTTTGATATCGATGACCTAAGGTCAGGTCAATTTTGCGACCTCCCCATTATAAGTCAATGGGAGAAAATTGAAATGCGCCTCTTTTGGATGAAAGACATTATAAACACTCCCAAACACCGAATTACAAGTGGTTTAGACACACTGAACATGAAAATGGTGTCTGTGACCCTTGTTTATGCCCTGAGGTCATCTTAGGTCACGAATGGTATCTAACAGTTTTTCGCAAATAACTTTTGATAGAGGCATGCTAGAGCGATGAAAACGCCTTAGATGTGTTCAGCTCGACGATACGGATCGACTGATATGCAACATGACCCTTTCCGGTCAGGTCATGACCTTGACCTGAGGTCAAATTTTCAAGTTGACCTTTCAAGGTCAAGTTATAGTTCATTCGATGCGTCTTGACGAGAGGAACACGATGCCGGTGAAAGTAAGCTCGTACAAGGCTTGGGTCAAAAGTTATTGCAGAAAAACTGTTTCCGAAAAAATCGGCTATTTTTGCAGTTTTTGCCCCCTGCAGGCAAAACCGTTGACGTTAGGTCAAATCTGAGAGAATTACTCAGAACGGGCGTTAATAGGGCTATCGAATGCGCTTTTCAGCGGCGCTGTAGCTCTATTGGTTCCCGAGTTATGCGTTGGCTTCTTGGAAATTTTCGACATTCGACCTGGAAATCGGCGAAATTTTGCCTTCAATGACCTCTGGTGACCTGACCTTTGACCTGACCAAAAAATTGACCGAAGTGATTTCGTCATTATTTTTGACGCTCTTTCGAACGCCGCCTTCCGCGTATCGCTACGTGGCCCAGGAGCCGAGTTACAAGGGGGGGTGTTCAAACACCCCCCCCCAGCAGGGCGTGGAAATCCAGGACCCCCAGCCGGGCGCGGGTTAATATGATATAATTCAGTCACAAGAGATTCAAAACTTACAACAAAACGACATACAAGAGTTCGAAAACCATCAGATAAGCTTAAAAAAGGCCTTGGAACGGAGCAGAACGGAGCCACAAGTGTCGTGCTCCATTTGTTTGATTACAATAATTGTAGTGCTGATGTATTGTTTTAGGACTCTAGCGGTCGGCTCATAAAAACTGTAACATTTTCACAAAATCTGTAAGGCAATTAATATTTCTGTGAAAGAACTTAAATATTCAAAAGCCAAACACCATGAAATACAGGAATCAGAACGAAAAGGTAACCCAAAAATCCAGCCTAATAACCGGCTCCTAAAACTGCGGCAAAATCAGCACTTTTCCCCGCAACTCGTTGTCCAGACGTAAATATGCATGAGCCTGACTGTCCTTAGCACTGGGAGCTCATTGAGACCAGGCCCCACATGCCTAGTGGCCTCCTGAAACCTGATTTCCATATGGGGTGAGCTATTTAAGAATGGTGATCGGATATCAAACCCGAGACAAGACAGCAATGAGCAGTGGGCGGTTCATGCAACCATAATCATGTTTCCTTACCACAAGTATCAAAGCAAAAACAAAAATAGCTACCTATTGAATTCAAATTTCACTGGAACCTCACCTACATGGATCTTAAGTGAAAGGTACATCTTGATACATCTGCACGAAAGATACATCTTGATCCACTCATCTCAATCTTGTTTTTCTGCATCCAGGGCATGCAACACTTCTGGTCAAGGCCGTATATAGGATATCGCTTCTGGTATTTTTGGCACAACTTACTCGACTGCTGAGCTCAAACGCAAATTGCAATCACGGTCATAAAATACTGAATATTGAATCGCAATGTATCAGTATATTCAGTCGATGTACCCCTCGTTCGATGTCTCTCAGACGACGAAGATTGTACGTCGTCCGGCCAATCCTGTTCTAGGTCAACGGGGGCTCGGCTGCAATTATGGAATGTGATTGGCCAAATGGCGTAGAATCTTTGTCGTCCGAAAGACATCGAACAAGAGTAATGTCGCTACTGCGCCATTGTTGCATCGAATTCGCCCCATAGAAGCACGTGTTAACTCTCTCCCATAGGGCCCTGGGTAAACTCTCTCCATAGGGTCCTGGGTAAACTCTCCCCTTGTCTATTTTCTTTAAACGGGGATAGTTTGGACAACAAAATATTTTCGACCTCATAAAAAATAAAACTTAATTTTTGATGTACCTCATTGATGCAAAACATCAGAAAAACATTAGAAATTAAGTCAAAGAAACCGATTGTTTATAAATGGACAGCTGACGGCATGCCTCCCGTGTCCCCTGGCTTGAAGCTACGGCTCCGTGTTACCTTAGTATTCTATGACCGTGGTCTGGATGAGGATAGGACCCTCTTGCACAGAGACAAGTCAGAATCGTTTTCAAGTTATTCCTTATGGTCTGCAGACCATTAATAGCAAATATGAATCTGAATCTAAATATGTTGCCAAGTTCATAGACATTCGTGCAAGGAGACTGCAAATCCAGGGCTGGTCTTTGTGCAAGAGAGGCCTACCTATCTTCGTAAGATGATAGTTTGAGTACCGTAAAACGGGGTGTTAAGGGACAGTTTTGAGGTGTTTTGTTATATAACTCAAGAAGGGTTGGAGATAGAAGCATCAAATTGTCAGCATTTTATGTGGAATTTGGGGCTTTACATGCCTCCCACATTAAAGTTTTTAAGATTTATACCTGCATATTATTTTTTATTATTTTTCATCACTGTCCCTTAGCACCCCAATGTGGGGTGTTAAGGGACACCTATATTATTCGAAGAAAAGGTCATAAAATGCCCACAATTGGGGTGTGGAAGGGCATACAATTTATTTATTGAAATGTATTGCATATTCTGTCACAAAGCAAGTCAGGTTCGTTCACCACTAATGACCTTTTTAGCCAATTACGTGTAATGCAGTTTACGCTTCTGGAAAATGTGCTAATTAAAAGGTAAACAGAACCAAAAAGTACCCTTCTGTCATCAATAAAAACCCATGTTGAAGCTAGCCACTTGTCATTATGTTGCCTTCTTTGTTTTAGCCTTTTTATGATGACATCACATTTACCTACATCAGTCTCCATTGACCCATCATTGTAAAAGAGAGTGTTGAAATGTTTTGTTATGTAGCTTAAGATGTGTTAGAGATAAAAGCATGAACTTGCCAACATTTTATGTGGAATTTGGTGTTTTCCATGCCTACTGAAAGAAAACTTAATGAAATTATATTTAGATATTATTTTTTATTTTTTCTTCCCTGTCCTTTAGCACCCCACATCCACCTCAAAATATGCATGTATCCGGAAAAGAGGAAGAGGATGATGAATGAATGGGTGGATTTGCACAAGTTTTTCAGGAAACATGTGCAATACATGTGACAATACACCTATGCATTCATTTTCCCTGTACACCCACCAGTTTATATGGTACACACAGAGTTTTGCAGATGTTTCAATTTTATGAAAATGTAGCATGATTTTCAAATCCATTTTTGAACCAAATCACTTGCATGAAGAACCATACCATTTTGTCCTATGGTCAAGAACAATATATATTACTGAACGGCTCTGGGAAAGAAAAATGGAAACCGAGGTCTTTAAAAAATTGTAGGCACGAGGCGTAGCCGAGTGCCGGAGACTTTTTGAAGACCGAGGTTTCCATTTTCGTCCCAGAGCAAGTTCAGTAAGATATTTCCCATACGTCGTTTAACATCTATTCAGAAACTCACAATTTAATTATTGAAATCACCTTTTTTAAGATTTTTATCAAAAAATCACCAGAACTGTAGGTCATCAACCCGTGCCGGAAAACAGTGCAGGAAAGATCACGTGCAAATGTTTACCGCACGGCTAGGATAATGCTAAAGGGATATCTCGGCGTATGGGAAAGCAGTGTCAACTACCACACTGAAGTTTTTATTGAACCTTCTCAAATTAGGAAGTTAATATGACTCAAAGTTTTTCCCATGCAACTGTCCCTTAGCACCCCACTGTCCCTTAACACCCCATTTTACGGTAAATATTTCCTTCTTATGTTTCTAATGTGGTCAAAGCTTAATTTCAATTATTCAATAAGGTTGAGCAATCAAGTTCAAATGTTTTGCTTTTTACACACAATATTTACCTAAATGTAAAAATGTCCTAAAAGGTACCGTAAAATGGGGTGTTAAGGGACAGTGGGGTGATAAGGGACAGTTGCATGGGAAAAACTTTGAGTCATGTTAAGTTCCTAATTTGAGAAGGTTAAATAAAAACTTGAGTGTGGTAGTTGACACTGTTTTGTTCTTGACTAAAAGACAAAATGGCATGGTTTTTCATGCAAGTGATTTGGTTCAAAAATGGTTTTGAAAATCATGCTACATTTTCACGAAATTGAGACATCTCCAAAACTCTGTGTGTACCACATAAACTAGAAGGTGTACAGGTAAAATGAATGCATAGGTGTATTGTCACATGTATTGCACATGTTTCCTGAAAAACTTATACAAATCCACCCATTCATTCATCATCCTCTTCATCTTTTCTGGACACATGCGTATTTTGAGGTGGAAGTGGGGTGCTAAGGGACAGGGAAGAAAAAATAAAAAATAATATCTAAATAAAATTTCATAAAGTTTTCTTTCAGTAGGCATGGAAAACACCAAATTCCACATAAAATGCTGGCTAGTTCATGCTTTCATCTCTAACACATCTTAAGGTATATAACAAAACACCTCAAAACTCCCTTAACACTATCTTTAACAATGATGGGTCAATGAAGACTGATGTAGGTAAATGTGATGTCATCATAAAAAGGCCAAAACAAAGAGGGCAACATAATGACAAGTGACTAGCTTCAAAATGGGTTTCTGTTGATGACAGAAGGGTACTTTTTGGTTCTATTTACCTCATAGTTAGCACATTTACCAGAAGCGTAAACTGCATTACATGTAATTGGCTAAAAAGGCCATTAGTGGTGAATGAACCTGACTTGTTTTGTGACAGAATATGCAAAACATTTCAATAAATAAATTGTGTGCCCTTTTACACCCCAATTGTGGGCATTTGATGAACATTTCTTGAAATAATATAGGTGTCCCTTAAAGGGACCCTCCCACCTTAACATTAGTTTTGAGTTGAGATAGCCAAGTTTGCGGCCAGGCTCAGAAACCACCATTTATCCTGGTCGCAACCCCCGCAGCTTTATGGTGTTTAAGAAATTTCTTCCCTTTACTTGCAGGGTGGGACCAGCGTGGTCCCTATCTCTTAACCATTACGGCAATCTGATGACGTCATCAGGCTTTCGAACGTCCGTTAAATGTTTGACTAAAACGTTTTGTAGCACGCGGTGGTATATGCTGCTTTGCGCGCAACAAATGCCGCACTTTCAAATAAAGTCGCTAGGAACAGCGGAGATCCCAAAAAGTAAACAAAAGTAAAAGTCTAATATCTTGAAAACCGGTGAATATTTTTCGATGAAATTTGGTAGATATTCGTTTTTGCTCTTTCTGAACCGAGCGACATCACTTTCATGCCAATTCATTAACTTTTTTGAAGGTGGGAGGGTCCCTTTAACACCCCACATTGGGGTGCTAAGGGACAGCGATGAAAAATAATAAAAAATAATATGCATGTATATATTTTTAAAACTTTAATGTAGCAGGCATGTAAAGCACCAAATTCCACATAAAATGCTGACAAGTTGATGCTTCTATCCCCAACCCTTCTTGAGTTATATAACAAAACACCTCAAAACTGTCCCTTAACACCCCGTTTTACGGTACCTAAGATGTTTTTCTTGAGAAGTTGACTGTTGACCTCTGTTTCAGGGTTCATGACAAACTCATAAAGAAGGAGTATGTCTGCCAGAGAATCATCACCAGAGGCACCAGCTCCAGTGGAAATAAAGGCCAAAAAGAAAAAGAAACTGGCCAAGATGGAAACACCAATTAAAGCAGTGAAAGATGCTGATGAGCAAAAGCTGGAGAGTTTGGTGTTTGGACTGGAGACAGATTTAGTGTCACAGCTGCAGCGGCCTGCATCTCCAGTGTCGGAGGATTTGTCAGAAACAGAAGCAGATGGCCTTCTGTGTCTGGACAGGCGTGGTCACACTGCTTCTGATGACGAAGATGGTGAGGAGGAGGAGGAGGAGGAGGAGAAGCCAATGGCGCGACAACCTGCTTGGGTCGACGATGATGATGAGCAGGTGACAGTGGCCCAGGTAGAGGCAACATTCGCGCAAGACCAACGCCGAGCCGCCGTGGCGCCGGCTGGCCGCTACCGGGCAGCGCTAGAGCAGCGGTTCACGTCCGTGGTGGGCGCGCCGCAGTGGGCGCAGCTCGATCGCAAACGGCGCCGGGACAGCGACGACGAAGAGGACAGCGAGCTGCTAACCAAGACGGGCCGGCTGCTATCCACGGCGCGGTCGGCGCGACTCGCCAAGGGCACGGTGCTGACCAAAACGTGCGCGCCCCTGACGGCGGCCGTGCAGCGGCGGCCGCGCACCGTCACCGCTCTCGAGTTCCACCCGGGCTCTCAGGTGGCGCTGGTCGGCGGCGGCGGCCGGCCGGCGCTAGCGCTCGTTCAGGTGGACGGCGTCGACAACCCGCTGATCCAGGAGGTGCCCCTGGACGGGTTCCGTGTGCAGTGCGCCCACTTTACGCGTGACGGCGGCCAGCTGATGGCCGGCTCCGAGCACGCGGCCCACCTGCTCTGCTACGACATGATGGCGGGCCGCGTGCTGCGCGTGGAGGCCGGCAGGCGGCTGGGACTGCGCGGCGTGCCGCAGTTCACGATGTCGCCCGACGGCCGGTGGCTGGCGGTGCCCGGAGCGCGCGCTGGCGCCGTCCACCTGCTATCCGCCCGCACTCACGAGTGGGTGGACACGCTGCAGGCGAGTGGACGCGTCACAGCACTGGCCTTCACCCCCGACGGCACCCGTCTGTTCACGCACACCGACGAGGGCCGTGTCTACGAGTGGGACATGTCGACGCGCGCCTGCTGCCACCGGTTCGACGACGAGGGCTGCCTGTCGGGCACGTCGCTGGCGTGCGCGCCCAACGGCCGCCTGCTGGCGTGCGGCTCCTCCTCCGGCATAGTGAACGTGTACGAGATGGCGACGGCGCGACGCGCCTCCCACCCCCGCCCGGTCAAAGTGTTCGATCAACTAACCACCACCTGCGACCAGCTGCGCTTTAACGTCACCGCAGAGCTGCTGGTGATGGCCTCCTCGCAGAAGGAGCACGCCGTCAAGCTGGTTCACGTGCCGTCGATGACTGTGTTTTCCAACTTCCCTGGCTGGTCGACTGCCGTGCAGGAGCCGCATAGTTTGGACCTCTCGCTGAGCAGTGGCTACCTGACCGTGGGTAACAATAAGGGCCGCGCGCTTCTCTACCGCCTACAGCACTACGATAGTTACTGAGTGAGTGTCCCTAGCGGCGAACAGACTACCACGGGCGCCGCGTAGTTGAATGTGCACTCGGTGACGCATCTGTGTGTCTTTTGAAGGGGCTGGCGTGGTGAACTGCGGGGGAGGTATAGAGGGATGTTGGTGGACCGCCTTTATCAAACTGAAATACAAGCATTGTTGTTGCTGGTGTCGTAACCTGCTCCATTCGAAATACACCATGCATAAAGTTCAGTTCCGAATGATTCGATGTGTGAATGATTACTGTGGTCAGTTATGATTCCAGAATACCACCGTCCAGTCTGACGCCGAATTAGCAGAGTAGGTGCAAAGTGGTGGCTTTGGGATGTGAAACCGCAGTCTGGCGCTTCCAAGAGCTTGAGCCAGGCAGCCAGAAGTTTTCGCCGCGATTCATTACGTGGTCAGGTGTGGAAGGATAGAGGAGTTGTTCGGCTGTTTCGGCTGTGCTAGAACGCTGCATCGGCTGAGCCCATCACGCTGGGGCGTGGCCACTGGCCAGGGAAGGGCGCTGAAGCGGTTATTGCGGTTGGAAGTTGGAACTCGGAATTACCCCACCGCCCGGCCGGTCGACTGCGGGCCGTACGGACCGGCCCCGCTAGTGGAACCGGGGACAGGAAGTGTGATCATTTCTCAATGATCACGATCACGATGGTTCGGTCATGACTCAGTAACTTGTGTTTCCCCAGCTGCTGGAAATGACAGATCATGGGTTTAGCTCTGCCGGATTTATATAGAGTAGAGCTATTTGCTTCATGCTGGTCTGGCCCAAGGATACGGCCTGGTGCCCGCAGCCCGAAAGCGTTGTTAGCTTGTCTACTTGGTAGTTGATTTGATCGATTTACTCAAGATTACTTTACTAATAGATTTACTTGGGGGAGGGGAATGCTTCGTAAAATGATACCAAATTAAAAACATTTCTCATATGGTATCAGTTTCTTGCGGCGTCGATAGCGCAGCAGTTTCAAGAAGATCCTGTTCAATAATAAATATGCTATCGCTCACCTTGTGATAAGCATTTTACACTTAAAGCCAGTATTAAAATTTAAGCAAATTTGAACATTTTTTAAATACTTAATAATAAAAATAAAAGCAAATTAAGGTTTATTTTTGCACAACCTAACACTACAACTTTTTGCAGACAACAAAACTAGCAGCTTCCGTTCTTCAGCGGAGTTCTGCAGAACAGAGTAGGCCTTGGGCACACGTGTTTACTTCCGTTACATATATGATTTATAAGATTAGTTCAAGTTTATAGGACTTTATGAAGGATTTCTAGCTTTAGTGGTGCCGGAGGATTGGTAAGTCATTTAGATAACTATACTTGAATTCCTGATTTGTATTCCATATATATTCAGTGTACGTGTAGGATGTTTGTTGGGGACACGGTGCATAGGTAACTGCATGACCAATTAACCTAAATTGAAATTGTTTGATTCACTCTTACCTGCATTCTCAGTCGGGCACACTGTGGTATTTCCGATCCATTTATGGAAACGTTTCCATTTTTGGAACAATGTTCCAAAAATGGATACGCCGTTTCCAAAAATAGAAACGGTCTGTTCCATAAATGGAAACGCTGTGTGCATCGCTACCTTTAAAGCAAACTGGGCATTGATTGGTGCAATTTGGCATGCGCAGGATGCCACCAATCGACAGCCAGCATTCTAGTTTATGTTCCTGTTCTCCGACTTTCCGATCAGAAAACCGAAAGTTGACGAACGAGGCGATGCTCATAACATGTTGATGTGATAAAAAATTAACACGTTTTTCTAATCGAAAAATAATAACATTTATGAATATTTTGAACCAAAAATAACGTTTTTAACAGACTACTGAAAGATTGGCACATTGATTGGAGCAACCACATCACCGGAGCTTCAGTTTTTCGTTCTGTTCATGCTGCATTTTCCGGTGTACCAGCGGCCTGGTGGTCGTCAATCTTTGATTAAATCGCATGAATGTTGTTGTTAAGCCCTATTTGGAGACTTAAGTGGGCATTTTATGATATTTCAAATGTGCTGAATATAATTGTAGGCTCGGATCAACGTAAATCTCCGTGCAAATACATAAAAAGCAGGATGGAAATAAGGTCTGCACCGTCGCCACACCAAATACCGTCGTATTCTAACGACGAATTTAATCATTGTAGCTCATGTGTAACATTGATATCAATTTTATATGTTGAAATGATATCTACGCTTTATGTATTGCCCACTTTGGACCACATTTGTCCAGTAGTTTCTGGGAAATCTTAGTTTTAGTCGACTTTTGAGTGTGCTAAAGTTGTGGCGCGTAATGTATTAGTATCAAACCCGACGTCCAAGGTGACTGCCGACAGCCGAGATGTTAAACCAGCTTCAAAATATCAAATTTTTAGTTGCATGTGAATTTTAAAAACACATTTGAGCTAAGTTTGCACACATTTGAACTTCAGCGTTTCTATTTTTGGAACATCAGCGTTTCCATTTTAGGAAACTAAGTCTCCATAAATGGATACGATTCAGGAGCATTTTAAAGTGGTGAATCTCAATGCATACGACAGCTTTCCATGCAAGAAGACAAGTGCTTATGGGGTATCTGCGCTTGTTTTACGCGAAACAGTGGTTATACATCAAATCCAGCCACCCCTGGCAATAAAATTTGTGCGGAGATGTTAGCGTTTCTATTTATGGAACGAGCGTTTCCATTTTTGGAACAGAAGAGTAGTCAAAATTGGAAACGTTTCCAATAATAGAAACGTCTCCATAAATGAATCGGAGATACCACAGTGCGCCCGACTGTTCTTTTTCTGCAATTAACTTTTTTGTAATGCCTGATAGGCAACTAGTAGGTTAGGCTAGGTTGGATTAGTTTTCTATGTTTTTATTTTATAGCTGTTGTAATGGGTTTATTTATTTCAATATAATCTTTTTTTAAGTACATTTTATGAAATTCTGTATTTTATCTAAGTAATAATTTTGCTGCACTTCACACACATTGTGTGTTAACATCAAAATGGCATCGTAAGTGAAATCTTGATCTCTTGAGTCTTGATACTGTCAGTACAGTTGTGATAAATCAAAAATTGGGCAGTCGGAAAACAGGTGTCCCACTGTTTTTTGCAACCAAGGAGTGGCACTACAATGTGCAAAATGTTAAGGTAAAAGTATACATTGAGTCCGAGTGACTGTTTAAAGATAAAGTTGTCATATTCTTACATTATTTGACATCCTGAATCCAAAAATGATACTTATATGTCTTGGAAATAAAAGAAAAAGCATAATCAAACCTGACCTAACCTTACCTAGTTACCTACAACCTACCAACCTACAACCAACAAACCTATAACCTACAAACCTACAACCTAACAACCTAAAACCTACAAACCTACCAACCTAAAACCTAAAACCTACAAACCTATAACCTAACCTAACCTAAAACCTAAATTTTTTGCTGTTACATATTTCTATCAACAGAGTCACACACAATTGTCCACTCGGACCTAATTAATATATAATAATACCAATGTGTATCTCAAAATTTTGATATTGATGACCTAAGGTCAGGTCAATTTTGCTACCTCCCCAGTTTAAGTGAATGGGAGAAAATTGAAATGCGCCTCTTTTGGACGAAAGACATTATAAACACTCCCAAACACTGAATTACAAGTAATTTAGACACACTGAACATGAAAATGGTGTCCGTGACCCCTATTTATGCCCCTTAGGTCATCTCAGGTCATGAATGGTATCTAACAGTTTTTTCGCAAATAACTTTTGATAGAGGCATGCTAGAGCGATGAAAACACCTTAGATGTGTTCAGCTCGACGATATGGATCAACTGGTATGCAACATGACCCTGTCAGGTCAGGCCATGATCTTGACCTGAGGACAAACTTTTAAGTTGACCTTTCAAGGTCAAATTATAGTTCATTCGATGCGTCTTGACGAGAGGAACACGATGCTGGTAAAAGTAAGCTCGTACAAGGCTTGGGCCAAAAGTTATTGCAGAAAAAAAAACTTTCCAAAAAAATCGGCTATTTTTGCAGTTTTTGCCCCCTGCAGGCAAAACCGTTGACGTTAGGTCAAATCTTAGAGAATTATCCAGAAAGGGCGCAAATAGGGCTATCGAATGCGCTTTTCCGCAGCGCTGTAGCTCTATTGGTTCCCGAGTTATGCGTTGGCTTCTTGGAAATTGTCGACATTCGACCTGAAAATCGGCGAAATTTTGCCTTCAATGACCTCTGGTGACCTGACCTTTGACCTGACCTAAAAAGTGACCGAAGTGATTTCGTCATTATTTTTGACGCCCTTTCGAACGCCGCCTTCCGCGTATCGCTACGTGGCCCAGGAGCCGAGTTAGAAGGGGGGGGGGTGTTCAAACCCCCCCCCCCCAGCAGGGCGTGGAAATCCAGGACCCCCAGCCGGGCGCGGGTCAAGGTCACAAAACACACTTTTTGAGGTTAAGTTGATGTGCTTAGCGTGCTTATTTGAAAATGCATGTTTTTGGCAGGACTCAGGACAAGCAGTGACCGAGGATGGCATCGAAGTCTTTATCTGAGCAACTGGCAGAGATAACCAACCCAACACCAACTTCACACGACCCAGAAGACGACATCTATGAGGGTAAGTAGCTCAAAAAGGGTATCTGATATGCTTTTTGTGTCTATATGCCATTAACCCGGCAGTTGCTGGGGTATTTCGCCACCCACCGTTTGCTGGGGGGGGGGGGGGGGCGTTAAACGCCCCCAGCCGATAACTCGAGAACCAATAGGCGCAGCGAAACTCACGAGGCGGCAAACGAAAGAGCGCGACGAGACGCTTCAGATGAGTACTTTAAAGTTGAATTTTGAGGTCACAGGTCAGGTCAAAGTCAGGTCAAACACCTGAAATCGGGCTTTCAGTAGCATGGACTTCGGGACTTCGCAATGGGCGCCTCTCGTCATAAACTCTGTCAAAACGGTGCACAATCCATCATATAAGGCCTACAAGAGTGTCAGCTCCATGTAGGGGTCAGTCAAGCATAGGTCAGGGTCAAGGTCAGGTCAACCGGGTAGGCACATATCCCCGAAAATCAAAACTGATATTCGCAGCCTGTGATACATGTTTTATGGGTAATTTGGAGCGTAGAACACGATGGTGACATTCCTTTTCTCATATGTGTACGAGTTTGGCTCAAAAAGTTCAATTTAAGAAATGCATGTATCTTGGTCGTGAAGTAGTCACTAGAAATTGCCAAGATTCAGTTCAAGATTTTGGAAAATGCGGAACAATAATCAATAATCGAAGATAGCCATTTGATTGCTAATGGTATTGGCAGTCTAATGGCGTTTATGGCATGTCTGTATATATATTCTGTGATTTTATATGATTTTTCGAACATATGCCGTTTTTGGTCGAAAACTCAGAAATCATGACGTCACTAAAACCTCGATATCTCAAAAATTTTCCGACCGATTTTTTTGAAACTTTGTCACAATAAACTTCAATCAATTCCCTACAGGTACCCAAAATTTGGCGCGCCTGCGGCGCGCCGTTTTTATGCTATGGCCCGGCGAAAAAAGTGGGGGCGTTTAACGCCCCCCCCCCCCAGCAACTCGCGGGTTAATGCTGTAAATTACTGCCATGCTGCCGGAATTTCGGCAGGCTGACTGCTGCCCTGTCCCGCTGCAGAGACGCGCGCGCAGGTGACCGGCTGGGAGGCCGAGGCTGACCTCTCTGGTGATGAGGGGACGACACCATCCCGCCTGCGTCAGCGGGCCGCCGCGCTGCTGCCGGACCTGGACCCCCGCTACGCCGGACGAGCCGTCTCCCGGTCAGTCGTCCCCCACGACTTCTCTCCATAGTTCACAGCTGACTGACAGGGTGTAATTTCGTAGTAGAGTCATGTGACGTATGATAGCGCAACAGATTCTGGACACTGTTGTGACATGTAACTGCAAACTGGGTTGTCGGCAATGGTTAGGGAACAGGCACCTGGCACACGCAACATAAACACGAGCATACTGATCATTCTGCTATCTACCTTTGTCCTTTTGTTCCTCTGACGAAGCCTGCCCCCACAGGAAAAGCCTCCAGGAGGCCAGCGATGACGCCGACTCCCTGGACGGCTCAGAGGACGGTGATGAGGACAGTGAGGAGCAGGATGAAGAGGACCAGGAGGAGGAACTGGCCTCCGGGGAGGACGAGGACGAGGATCAGTTGGAGGCCTTCAAGGCCAAACTGAACGGCGTCGAGTCCGGCACCAATGGTCTCAGGTGCGTACTGCGTGCCAACGAACTCGTAGCCGTATGCGACTGTGCTAAGTCTGTGAAAAATATATGGTTGAATGCACCTTGCATAATCTTGCTTTAATTACGTTCCGTAAAGTTTTCTTATTTTAATTAGCGCCCTTCTGATAATTTATGCTCGTCCTTTTTTGTCCATTTCGTTTATCTATATCGGCTTAACTTCGTTTTCTGGTGTTCTCGATCGTCTTAGAAACTGCTTCTGTGCAACGTGTACGAGTAGTGTACGTGCAACGCTGACTCGTACTTTCCTTCCTTCTTCGTTTGGTGTTTCCGGCTTACTGACGGTGTTTCCCCTTCCAACCCAACAACAGCACAGATGACGGCGAGCTGGAGACCGATTCAGAGGAGGCCACCGGCACTGGTCAGGAGGACGGTGAGGAGGAGACCGAGGAGGACGGCGAGGATCAGGAGGACGCCGGGGACTCGGAGGAGCAGGAGGACTCGGACGTCGGTCAGGAGGAAGAGGAGGACGGGGAGGACATCAGCGCTGCGCTGGACTCGCAGGAGGACGAGGAGGGAGGGGTGGAGCTGACCAGTCGGTCGGCCGGCAGCGACGCAGAGAAGGGGGCCGCCGTCAAGGCACAGCTCGGTGAGTAGACGAGGGAGGGGGTGGCGAACTGCAGGGGTGGGGGTCACTGAGAATGGCATTGGCTTCCATCATAACGTTCTTCGTGTGTTCTTTTCACTGCCAAATCGTCAACCGGTGATCGGAAATTTCGACATCGTTACCCTATGTCGAGACCTATTGCCTCTCCGCTGACTATCCTACATTTCTTTCATGCACTCTCCTCCCTCCCGTTCTTTCGAAAATATTTTACCATCCATCATTTCTTTCTCTCTTGCTCCTCAACTTACCTCTTTCTCCCCACTGACTCCCCTTCCCTGTTGGCCAGGCGTCTGGGACCAGCTGCTCGAGTGTCGTATCAAGCTCCAGCCGAGCCTGCAGCAGTGCGGACAGCTGCCTGCCCCCGGTGACCGCTGGACAGAGTTCTGGGAGGCCGCTGGCGAGGACATCGCGGCACGGCTGACGGACGCAGCTGCCGCCGCCGACCGGCTCATGCGACAGCTGCTGCAGCTGCAGGTCAGCAACTGGGGCAGCTAGCTGATAAAAGTGCTGCATGATTGTCGTCTGTGTCTGTGTGTTATCTGTACTCTATGCCATAAGTGCAGTTCTGCTGCTGCATCCGGGTCGGGATCGTTCTCAGATATCATAGTGTCATGGAAAATCGATACAGGAATAAACATAAAGAAGCGGCATGACTAATAATCGAATTCCTTAAACGTACTCGAGATTAGATGTTTATTCTTAATTTGTCTGATTAAAGTCTGTTTTTTTTTGCGTGTTCATTTCAATACTTTGTTTGAATTCTTGAGTACTGTCGAACCCCGGTCTATCAGTCTGCTGACGGTCTCCCGCTCGCTTCCCCGACCACTGCGCCTACAGGACCTTCTCGCCGAGCAATACCCAGAGACTCGGAAACTGTCCTCGGGCTCCGCCGAGCCGGAGGCCGACTCAAACTCTGACTCTGACGAAGAGCCGATTCCGACGCCCAACCAGCGGCCGCGGAAGCGCCGTCGCTCTGGCCTGACGTCGACCGATCCTGCCAAGCGGTTTGCCGCCTATCGGCCCTACCGCGATCAGACGATCCAGCGGTGGAACGACAAGACTCGGCTCACGGCCGGCCGTGCCACCGCCAAGTCTTTCGCCGCCTTCGAGCAGTCGACGCTGCGCCAGATTGAGCAGATTCTGTCTGACCGAGGGCGGCTGCTGCGGCGAACACAGCTGAGGCGCAGCGACGCCGCCCGGTTGGGAGAGCCTCCGCTGCCGCCACCCAGCGCTGCCACGGTAAGGGGGAAGACGATGCTGAGGATAGAGGTGCTGTATTTTGGAAGTCTGTCTGGTGGCAGTTACTGCTGTGGAATGTGGAAACATTTGGATCTGTAAACAACGTGCCATTTTGGCCCGATTGTTTTTTTTTTTTACTATCATTTACTTCAGCTATCAAAACCATATATTATTCTATAGAACATTTATATAATATGGCACTGATAAGGACGCCGTAATTCATACATATTTCACAAGACGTTCGTTTATCGTAGACGTTCACGATTCTTAACACACATCTTGTGCTGTGCTGCCATCTACAGTGCCCGGTTTTCCATGGTCTCATAATTACCCCGCATCAACGCGGCCTGGGAGCGCCTGCCACTGACCAGTGCCTCCTGTACTCTCCTGCAGGAGGATCCAGCGGCGGCGGGAGGCGCCGAGAGCCGCGAGTACGACGAGGAACGGTTCGACGACAGCGACTTCTATCACCAGCTGCTGCGAGAGCTCATCGAACGGAAAACAGTGGACGTCACCGACCCGCTGGCGCTCGGCAGGTACGTGCCCATCATCCCGCGGGAGGGTAGGGGTCGCTGGTGGCTGTATGCTGTCCAAAAGTTACACCATTTTTAAAGGTGTTCTTTTTGTCCTATGCGGGCTAAATGTCAGCTGTTTTGTAGGCGAGGGGCTTTTGATCGATGTATTTCATGATACTGACTGGGTTTCCTCCGATTCCAGGCAATGGATCCAGATCCAGAAGCTGCGCTCCAAACTGAAGAAGAAGGTGGACACCCGCGCCAGCAAGGGCCGCAAGGTGAGGTACGAGGTGTACCCGAAGCTGGTCAACTTCATGGCCTCGGAGCGCGCCGGTACGATGACGGACACCGGCAGGGACGAGCTGTTCGGATCGCTGTTCGGGAGTCGCAGCCGGCCGGCCGGGGGTGACAGCGGCGCGGCGCGGCCCGAACTGAACGGGGACGGCGCTCTCACCTGGGCGCAGCTGAATGGCGGGCTATCCGTGTGAGTTAGGGAACAATGCATGACGTGATGGGGTGCTCAAGCGCTGGCGGTTTATTGCTACGAACAGTCCCACTGTTCTGAGCGAAAATATATTGATCGGGTCAGACCGAAATGGAGTCTTCCTTACTGGCGTGAAAGACGAACGGTCAAAAGGCCTTATTCGCCCGTACAATAATATCCGCCTACCGGACCCTACGCAGCTTCGGGACGGCGGGGCCGTGGCGGCCTTGAGCCGCAGCTACCTTAGTCACCAAGAGCCGTTGGGCTACTTGTACAACACCAGCGGTTGGGCCGTTGGGTTGGGAGGAGAACAGAACAACAACCTATTGGTTTTCTACATACGCGCCGGCCGAGGGGGGGGGGGGGGGGGTACGAATTCCCTCGCCGTTTCGCCCCTGATAGAGCAGACCTAGAGCATCGCAGAAAAAACGAGCGTGTCCGCCGTTACAAGACGCAGCGTCCAGCGACTGGTTCTCGATATTAACCTTCGCCCCAGTGGGGGGGGGGGGAGGGGGCATATGTTACCACCCTGTCGCGTTTTTTTGCGTGTGAATAAAAAACCGCGGCGCCCGCTTGGAGTAGCTTTTGGTACATCTATTTTGGACAGTGTGTGAAATTTTTGACCCCAGGTCATGTCAGGTCAGGTCACCAGGTCAAGTTAACTGACCAAGCCTAAAAAAGTTTGCAATCATGTCCAGCCTGCAGTGTTTGTCAGAAAGGTTTTAAACTTGGTAGATTGCATGCGGTTATGGGCGCCTACAATTTGTATATCTCGGATTTTTTATATCCGTGACCTAAGGTCAGGTCAGTGGCGTGACCTTTCCATTACAAGTCAATGGAGAAAGATGAAAATGCCTCTAGATCCGTGTGTACGCATAGGAACAGTTCAAATATTTCAGAATCACAATGATTTGGACCACCCGTGATGACCAAGGTGTCATTTTTGCTGATAGCCTCTAGAAAGGTCATCCGAGGTCATTTAAGGCTACAAACAGATTTTTGCCAATAACTCGCGATTGGAAAGAGATAGAACGCTGGGGATGGTCTCATTGTGTTTGTCTTGTTGAGACACATCGATTGATATGCAACATGACCTTTTCCGGTCAGGTCATGACCTTGACCTGAGGTCAAATTTTCAAGTTGACCTTTCAAGGTCAAATTATAGTTCATTCGACGCGTCTCGGCGAGAGGAACATGATTCTGGCAATAGAAATGTCGTGGCTTTTTGAAGTAGAAAGTTATTGTCGAAAAACACTTTTCGTAAAAACAGCTATTTTTGGAGTTTTTGCCCTCTGGAGGCTAAACCGTTGACCTGAGGTCAATTTTGATAATGACGTTATCAAAAGAATAGTTCAAAAGCTATCGATTGCTTTTTCATTCGTTTTTCTAGCTACCATAGTTCCTGAGATAACGGCATGTTTTCTGAAAAATATAATGACAATTGGCAAATTTTGACCTTTGATGACCTCTGGTGACCCCAATATTGCCCTAAGATGAAAAATGACTGGAATACTTTCAAACGCACGCATTGAGAGCTATCGACTGCTTTTTACCGTGTCTTTCTTGCCCTCTTAGTTTTTGAGTTAGAGGTGGGTGGTAACATATGCCCCCCCCCCCCCCACTAGGGCGAAGTTGGCTGAGACTGCCACTGGTGCGCGGGTTAAAGTCTCAGGTTAACTGGTGACCTCTGAGGCCAGGTAAAGTGACCTAAGGCACGGGCTCAGTTTTCTTGCAACAAAAAAAAAAACCTCAAAGCCGCGATTTTGGCATCATCGTGTTTGCCTTGCTCAGGCACGTCGAATGTTATACTTTTTGTTCGGGTGAGGTCAACTTGTGTTGACCTCGGATCAAGGTCAGGTCACGAAGCTGGTCGAAGGAGGTCATGTTGCATATCATTCGATTCGATAGGCCTTCCCGAGTCCATGAGTGGTTTTCCCGGCGCGCTAGCTCAATTTGAGCGGATATTTACGATATTTACGAAAATATATTGTTTTTAGATATTTACGCTAGATATTTACGAAAAACGTATGACCCAAGTGACGTCATCAATGACGTCACGCAATGTCAACAATGCAAAACCAAAGCCTCGGACCTTGCAAGGAGTGCAAGAAATCACGAATCCGTGTGCTGAGATAGTTTGAGATCGTTTTCGGCGCTAAAATAGCAGTTTTCATTTCCCCCCCCCCCCCCCCCATTGACATAATGGTGAGGTCACGTGACCAACCTGACCTCATGTGGTCTTTAGGAAAACTCCTAGATATTCAAGTTGTGAGACTTTGGATACTACATCCTGTAAGTTTCATCTCCCTGTGAAAGTTCCTCTGGCACTGAGGGCGTTGCGAAGTTGCGACATCCGAAGACCGTGCAGTGCAGAGCTTCACTTATGACGTCATAGGTCAGTGACCTGACCTGACCCGAACACGCGGTTGGTGTCAAAAGATGCGACTTGGATCAAAAGCCAGGTATGCCAAGTTTCAGCTCTCCAGCTCCCACGTGTTCGGCAAAAAAAAAAAAAACTAGGGGGGGGGGGGTCGGCTCTAGCTCCCCCCTCGGCCGGCCAGGGTTAAAGCCAGATTAGTAAGTGCTAGAGAACTTTCGGCCGGCGAGGGTTAAAGCCCGATTGGTAAATGCTAGAGAGCTTTGACTCGTTCACGATGTGGCCTTTGCACCGTGCAGACTTGTTATAAATTTAGCAACGACCATTGTTATTTTTCCAGTGATTTGAGCATACCAGCAGTGCTGCAGTGCTTCTTTATCAAGGGTCTTGTCAGTTGTCTGTCACGCTCTTAACTATGTAACCAACCTTGAATGCTGCGGTAGGATGGGATTTGGTTGGCGGCTGTATGGCCTTGGGCGGCTGTTTGAAATAATGAAAAATGACTTGCTAGCCAGTGCCTATTTTCGGCTGGCTTCTGAGCGACACGAACAGATGCATCATGCAGCAGCTTATTTTTGAGAAGACAGGTTTTGACCAATGACCTGTTGTCTGGTGGAAAACCACACATTTTATCCTCCACTTAGTGAGTGAGACCTGCTGTGGATAGACACAGTGACCGTCCAGTTATGCGTCCAACAAGCAGACAATCGCACTGATTGGTGCTCTTTCTTTAGTCCCAATAAGTCCGTCTGACATGGAACTCACGACTGGATAAATGTGGCCCGCCCCATGACTGGATAGCTTGTTTTATATACCCGGCAGTGTTTTCAAGATCGTGTAGCACTATCGTTTCGGCATGCCATATTTCCGCTTATTATATAAGGACGTAAGACCTAGGTCTCGGCCAAGTACCCGGTTGGCTGAAAAACACCTCATCTGAAAAAGTGTCCTTTTTATATCGATTCGTTGATGCTGTCAGCGATTTATAGGGGTGACAGGATGTGTCAAACATAATCTCGATCAGAACATGCGTGTTGTCAAGGGTCTCCACCGTTACATAGGTAACAGGTACATAGGTGTAGGAACGTTTTCGAAAGTGGGGGGCCAGGCTCCCAGAGGCACAAAACCTCACCTACCCCCAAAATCCATTTTCTCCTCGGATTTCGGCAACTTTATTTTCGCAAGCATGCTCAAATTGGTTAAAAAAACGTGACAAGAAAAAAAAATCGACCAAAATCTCGGGGAGACTCCCGTCCAGAAATTAAATCTCATGGACGCGTCCCCCTGGCCTCCGCAGCCGCGTTGGCACCAGGAGCGGATCCAGGAAAACTTCAAGGGGAGGGTCATGAATCGAAGTAGTGCCCCTACCTATACCCAAAATTAAAACCTCAACTAATTTCAGCCACTTAATTTTGGTGGTGCCCTATTTTCATTTTTATTTATTTGTTTTTGCCCTGGCAGGCCTGTGGTGCCACTGGCGGGCCTGTGGTGCCCCTGCTAGGCCGCAGGTGCCCCTGGCAGGTTTGTGGTGCCCCTGGAAGGACTGTGGTGCTCCTTACGAGCCTGAAGTGCCAGCGACAGGCCCATGGTGCCTCTGCGAGGCCGGCGGTGCCCCTGCGAGGCCGTGGTGCCCCTGCTAGGCCGCTGGTGCCCCTGGGCCCTGACAGGACTGTGGTGCTCCTGACAACCCTGAAGTGTCCCCGACAGGCACGTGATGCCCCTGACAGTCCCAAGGTGCCCCTGCGAGGCCAGTGGGTGCCCCTGGCAAGCCTGCGGTGCCCCTGGCAGGTCTGTGGTGTCCCTGGCAGACCTGTGGTGCCCCTGCTAGGCTTCCGGTGCCCCTGACAGGCCTGTGGTGCTCCTGAAAGGACTGTGGTGCCCCTGGGCCCTGACAAGCCTGAGGTGCCTCTGACAGGTCCGTGGTGCCCTTGACAGGCCCAAGGTGCCCCTGCGAGGTCGGTGGTGCCCCTGGAAGGCCTTTGGTGCCCCTGGAAGACCTGTGGTGCCCCTGACAGGTATGTGGTGCCCCTGGCAGACCAGTGGTGCTCTTGCTAGGCCGATGGTCCTGACAGGCCGGTGGTGCCCCTGTCAGGTCTGTAGTGCCCCTGATAGGTCGGTGGTGCCCCTGGTAGGCCTGTGGTGCCCCCGGGCCCAAGGGGGCATGACCCATGTGACCCCACCTTGGATCCGCCACTGGTTGGCACCCATACAAATTCCAGAAGCATCCAAAAACATTTTTATTACGAGCGAGCGTGAAACGTGAGAAGTGAAAAGTCAGCAAAAGGTGTGTGTGTGTGTGGGGGGGGGGGGGGGCAGTTGACATTGCTGGCCCCCATTCGAAAGTGGGGGACCATTGCCCCCTGCCCCCCTGTTCCTACGCCTATGCCAGTCACCGATCAACTAATGCAAGGCCGCCTAACATAAATTGTTAGTTTACGCCGTTTACGCATTCTGCTGCACCAGTATTGTCTCTCTTTGCAGCGCGCACTGCCCCTAAGCTGCCACTTATTGCTTCTGACAAAGTTACCTTTCATTGGGTGGAGGAAAATTGCACTCAGTAACGATGGAGCACAAATGGAAATCTTCATGGAAGGGCAGGCCGGAGAACCGTCAAGTTTGTTCTTCGGGGTGATACCTACAAACAGTGGCGGATCCTGGGGGGGGTCCACGGGGTCATGACCCCCCCCAAAAGGTCTGAGAGGGTCATTTGACCCCCCCCAAAAGCCGAAGACCTA